ATAGGAGACAGATCCTACGGGGAAAGAGGGAGGCTCTGTTAGGAACTATGAAAAGAGGATTACGGACTAACATGGCATAGACAGATCAACATTCCAAGCGCAATGGTAGGGGAGTGGGGTGAGAGAGCCAGTGTGAGGTGCGAACTCCGCTTTAAAGGCCATCACATCACGTTTTAATAAGCAGGTAAGGAATTGTGATAATGAAGGGGTGATACAAGTATATAGGATAGGTGAATGCCTCAGGACAGAAGGTGAAATAACACAACTGTTTAGCAGACAATTGGTCAAAGGATCGAATTCGCTTGTCTCTCATGCGTTGTATTGTGTTGCTAAGAGTGGCAATCCTCACGTCTGGGAATCTACCAAGTCTATTGCCCGATGCTAGAAATCACCATGCATACTATGGACTCTGGACCAGATGAGTTCCTTTTCGTTTTTATGTCAATATGATCAAGCTGAGAAAACAAGGTCAAACAACCACTATACAACGAAGTGAGAGCGCGACCATCTTGGTCTTTATACCTTTGATTAAACCGATATTATTGTTTTATCTCACGATTTGGGTACCTATTCTTTTTCTTTCTCATTCTCATTAGCAAACTTACCAGGCTATTTAATTTTTCATTATTTATTTAGCTATCTTAGTTCCTGCTAGCCTATTAGATCTTTCGGAGGGCCGATTTGTCTGCCCTCGAGCGTCATCTCGATTCACTACTGGCCTATCTTCTCTGGATCTTGGGGAAACTACTGCAAATGCTATGGGATCTCGTCCTCATCACCACCTCCATCTAAGACTTGCTGAGATCCGCCTAGGTCGACTTGTCAGCTTCCTTGACTCTTTGATTCGTGCCAGCTTATTTGGTGGACCTCAAATAAGAAAATCGTCTCTAAATGCTACCATAGGGACAGGTAGACATGGGGCAATTTCTAAAAAGGCCTCAGCAGCCTTCAATGTTTTTGTAAAAAATACTCATAGAAAGGCCCAATCCATTGATCAAACGGATGTCAAAGGACTGAATCAAATTGAATCAACTAGTTCAAATAGAGACTTGGTGAGCAAAGAATCTCGATCACATGGGAGTCACCTCATACCATATCTACTTATTTGTCCTTTCTTATCACCAAAATGTGAGTGAAACGTCTATAAATATTCTCATTTATGGTAAATATAATAAACTGCATTTTTGACCTGCTCTTAAATCACCTTTATTGCATTTATTGTTATTAGTTTTCGAGATTATCAGTAGACCCTGTATGTCGATCTTAGTCACCCTGCGTTGCACAAGGTAATGGAGGAGGAATGATTGTTCGAATTTTCTTACGATGCAAATGAATTTCACCTAGCCCTGTCTTACAAAATCTATTATCATCCAGGATGAGACTGCAGCCTCAACCCCACCTGAGTCTAATCAGCATCCCAACGTGAATCGAACACTGATCATGTGCAAATAACGATGACAACTTACCACTGCGCCAGAAAGCTGCGGGGCTAAAGGCTCACGCTGTGGGCGTGAATTTCAAGGCAGACCAAGCATCTCCCATAGTACATTTTGTAAAGGGATTGTCGATGAATATAATTTGTGTTTGCCATTACAATATACTACGTTAATCGTCTGCCTTATATTCAGGTTTCGAGATTTTAAGTAGACCTTAAATGACCACCTACCTTACGTAAGGTTTAGATTACTGTCTCCTCTTGGATGAGCACTTTAGGAGACAAAAGTATGTTAAGTCGAAGATATGAAGACCAGGATGGGGTGGCCTTTGCCAATATGACCAAGTTGCGAAAAAAACTTCTATTAAACTAAATAGAATTTACTGATTTTGTGGGAAAATTTAAATATTGCTACTTTATTATCTTGTGCGAGATAGGATGGCGGAATTTTCTATTTTGTCATGCTCTAATTATATTCATTTATTCATGCATGCTTTATTCAGCTCTCCAAGCATCTATATTGGTTTCAAATTGATAAGGATCTGTTTTATGATTTGTTACTAGTGATCTTTTTTGAAATAATCCAGCGGTTGGTTCAGGAGAGCCTTCATCCACATTTTGTGTTATCTGTAAATTTTATCTACCATGGTGGCCATCAAAAGGGCTATATCTGGGTCCCCTCCCAGTCTTGGTATAGTGGACTTTATGGCTTTCCTTGAATGCGAAGGCCTCTATATTTGTTTGACTTTAATCTAATAGAATTTAGCGTTCTGATTATAAAGGCACGCTTCTTTGTATTTCTTATTTACGAATTGGCTGTATAACTATGCCTTAAGATACGTGCACATTCAAGGGCACTGGTATATTCTAGATTGGTCTTAATTGCAATTGAAGGGATCGCTGAGTGGTATTCTGTAGTTTCTTTTAGAATATCGAGACGAGTCAAATATTCTCCT